ATATCCTCTCTCTCTCTCTCTCTCTCTCTCTCTCTCTCTCTCTCTCTCTCTCTCTCTCTCTCTCTCTCTCTAGTCCTAATCTCCCTTTCCCACCTTCTTGCTCCCGCCGTTTCACATTCTACGCTCCGTCTCGTCCCTCTCCTCTTTCGCCTTTTCCCTTTTCCGTCGCCCGATCACGCCCTCTTCGCGAATAACGCCGGCTGGAGTTCGCCAGGCCGCGAAACTTTCGGGCTGCTCGATCGTAAGTCGACGGCAACGGCTTTTATGAACCGCGACCCACCCGCCCGCCATTCGTATTCGAACGCCGTGCAAAAGTCCGCGCGAAACCCGTTTAAAGTCTGTGAAGTTTCGGCCGCGGGCGCGACGATGATTTTGAAAGTTTCCCATCCACGCCAGCGACTTCTTTTCGCCCGTCTGCCTCTCAGACTTTAGCCGTCGCGGTCGTGATCGCGGCCGCTGTCCGGTTGCTGCTTGAAACGTCAGCGGAATGCGACCGCGAGCTGTCGAAACTTTCGAGATCTCTCGCGACGTCGCCCGTGCCGGCGAGAAACGGCATCTCCGAATCTAAATCTCGCCGAAGAGGAGGTGCGAACAAAAATCTGCCGTTCGAAGTTAATCGCGGGCGATCAGAAGCATTACAAGAATAAATGTCGTGTCTCGACTTCAACGCCGCGCCGCGGCGGGCGCCGGAAACGAGAAGAGGCGCGTACACCTACACTCTCGACGCGAAGAAAAAGTAATCGCAGGATGGACTTTGGATGGAGCTTGTCCTGCGAGGCTCGTTGACAGATCGCGGTGCGAAACTGGTCTCGACGCACAATGGCTCGAGTGCGTATCATTAGTGATAACGAAAGCTGAGGCTCGTCCATTTCTGCGGGCCTGCCATGCGATTTACCAAGTGGCCGCGAACCCGTCTCGGATCAAATCAGTGTCGGAATTTTTGGAAAGGAAGCAACACAAAATTTATCGATTCCAAATTCTCTAATTGGCCGATTGATTTCCCGTATCTTTGTGACTTCCCGAATTAATCTATTGATTTTTAACGATAACTTGCGAGCGATTTAGTTCACGGAGAGAATTTTACAGTCAAAATTAGTATAGAATCAAGGAACAGAGTAACATTCAATAGTAATTTATCATCCTTTCGTTTCATACGTGTTATACAGAGAAAGATTGGTTGAAGTAATCTGTAATCTGGGTACATTAATCCTTTGAGCTATACATTTTATTTCTTGAATTTCTATGAATTTAACATATGGGATTTCGGGCTTGTTGATTATGAATTTGGAATAAAAAAGTTATAATTTGAAGTGGCGAATTCAATTTTAATGAATGTTCAGAATTAGCAATCCCGCTTTTAGCTTTTAGCATTCGGACAATATTTTCTATATATGAAAAAAAATCTGCGTTTTTCATAAGAAATTTGCAACAAACGTATTATTAATATTTCAATAGTTTACTGTAAAAATAGAATTTGCAGAAAATTTTGAAAAAAAATATATAACTAGATTGTTCGGTGAGAAATAAACAATTCATAATTTCGATTGAAGTAACCAGACAAATTTGGTTAAAATGATCAGAAAAATTTAGTTGTTTACAACTTCGTGAAAAGAAGATTATTACAAAATTCGTTTTTACCCTGATGTATTTTGAATCCGGGATCTTTTATGAATCAGCTGTCTTACGCGCTATCTTATTTCTCTAAAAGTGTTTTGAATAAAAACTATATTTTACCGTAGTTTTCTTGTTAATCAAAACTATGATACAATATTTGTGCGCGGAAAGCGATAAGACAAGCTTTGTGTGGTTAACTCTTTACAAAGAGTTGAATACTCAAGATTCGTGCGCGTAAGGTATTGAATTTATGTTAGATTGGACTGGCAGTAGCCAGTCTATATTGCACCTAAACGCGTTTTTTAATATTTAATTATAATTATCAGAAATTCTACCTACAGTTGTTTAACCAAATGTGCCACGTTAATCCAATTATGCTTTTCTCCCGTATAGTCGCAATAATCAGACACTTGGATGCTAGATACGCTTTACCAAGACTTGTTTAACCAAACATGTCTCGTTAATCCAAACGAGCTCTTGCTTCTGTGCATTCATAATTTAGGAACTGAAATATATTATTGAAAAACGCACTATTCTCACGCTAGTAAAGACATACAGTAAAATTGACAGGAATTTATATGAAAAAGAAAACTGTAACATTCTCTTCGTGTGGTAACACGCCGAAATGACGGAATTCACGGATGAAACGATGAAAACCGACAAAGGGTTATGTCGAGCGGAGAGATTGCACTTTTGGCCGCGTGAGTTCGCGCGCGACATAGAACAGATCATCGTGGAAGTCGACTTGGTCAGCCCTCGATACGCACTGAGGCACTATGCCGTAATTCAATCACCCCGGCATCCCCTACGTCGTCCTCGTCGTCCCTACTTACTCGCATCTTCGTCGATTTCTCTTTAACAATAGCAGGTACTAGCATAGCTACCACAGTCGTACGTATCGTTAATAGTTACAATTAAGTTTAGATATTACTAAAGGGTTCTGTTCTTCATCAGCGTCCCCCTCGCCCCTCTTCACGTCTACCCTTATTAGTTCCGCGATTTTAAAAATTGTTTTCTTTTTTCACACCCCCCGGGCCCGCCCGGAGACCACCTGCCGCGCAACCCCGCGTGCGCGTTCTCGAGCCGACACTCGACTAAATTTCCGACTATGTCTCACTTGGACCGAGGTATCGTATAAAAAATGATTCGCCACCGTTTCCCGGAGTAACGAGTGACGCCTTGAGACTGCGCGTCGCGCCCGTCGCGACGGAGAACGGGGCCGCGTGCGCGCGAGACTCGCAAGGATCCGGAGGACCCCGTCCGGAGTCGATCCTCGCGAGAGTCTCGCCGCCTCGCTCCTCCTCTCGTTCTCGCGCCTCGCCGTGGCCTCTCGTCTCTCTTCCGTTCGTCACGAGACGTAACGCCGCAGGGAGGAGGTCCGACGTCGATCCCGCGATCCGCCCCGCCCGGGGACACACGATGACTTACAAAAAGGCCTATACAAAAGTTCCGTAAGAAAGAACGACTGAACGACACACATACCGTGTCCCTAAGTAGTCACCGCTACACGATACATTTACACGCTACGAACGCTCTATGTATATAATACACCGACATGCTACGAACATCAGTGGAAATCAGTAGTCTAAACGAGGGAGGGAGGGGGAGGGAGGGGCGAGAGAGAGAGGACGCGGGGCGGGGGTCGACGGTGCCCGCGCGGATCGACGCCGGCGGTCTCCGGTGCGCGCGGGCCGGTTTCCTTGCGTTTTGTCCCACGACCACAGGATTAACATTTTTTTTTTGAATACTTTTAGCACCTAGTGCCCGCGGCCCGCGGCTCGCGACACCTCCGCCGCCCGTCACTGTCGTTGGCGCCCCGTGTCGTGGCGCGACACTCGTCGGCGAGGCTCGATCCGAGGTCCGAGCGTGCGCCGGGAAAACCGAGCGCGCGCGTCTCCGTCGACGAGAGCGACAACGCGCGCGCGGCGTTTCCCGGCTCTGGGAAATTTACCGCGCCAAGTTTCCTCGATTATCCCGTTCGTACTCGTTCATTGCTTACTCGCGAGGCGCGGGGAATTTGATCGGATCGGTCGCAGCGCGATCTAGCGGCGAGATGTGGTGTACAAGTGCGACAAAGTGCGTTCACGTTAAAACGCGACCCGTGTTTGTTTCTTTCTTTCTTTCTCTCTCTCTCTCTCTCTCTTTCTTTCTCTATATATATATTTTTGTAGGCGGTTCTCGAGGAAGGAAGACGGTTCTGACTAGTGTAAGAGGAATTTTCGTTGTGAAGCGTTACTTTGGTAGTCGTTTGCATTGTACCCAAGAGTTTATAGTAAAGTAACATTATGAAGCGAGGCTTCGGTGACGTTTTAAGATGAACGCCCTGCGGTGCGGACTGATCGCGCTCGACTCGAGTTCGAACTTGAAATTTGAAATTCTCTTGAAATTAGTGCATCAACGTACGCGCGTCATTCGAACGAGTGTAATCGATTTGTTGTGGCCCGAATAAAACAGCTGTGCGAAAAGGGGGACTGATATCACGGCGAGTTACGATCGCACACGGGATAAGCAGCTCTGTGCAACTGAATTTTCTGTTACTTGGAGGCCGGATGATAAATTCGCTTGTAGGAACAGAAAGATCCCTGTGCACTGAGAGAACAATGTTTGATATTTGTAATTATAATCACATAGAGCAGAGCTCGGAATTAGTTGCCCATTTCGGCCGATTTTCGGGAGCTACGCCTTCTATTTTCCCTTTGGCGCGCGGCGGGCCACGCAACCCAGATAGCCAAGTGTGATTGAACATTTTGACTAAACTAATGCATAGCAAGTATTGTTAAATGTTTGCTGTATATTTGCAATGAACGCGTTACTGAATGCAACAACATGATTGTTCACTGCTAGGTAATTAGATGACGAAATTTCAAGAGCAAACCGGTCAAAATATGTTGTCAGCACGTTGTCAGCATCATGACAAAAACTTTTTAACGAATTACAAATCTGTATCAACATATTGCCGTTAATTTGCCGTTATTTGAATTAGAATTCACGTGAGTTCAACACATAATGCTGTGTCACCTTGTTTCTAGTTTGTTTAAATTAGTTGATGTTTGTTGTTGGCAACACGATAGTAAACTCACAAGCAATTGGCTATCTGGGAAGTGACGGTCGCGGCTTCAAGCTTCAGATTTCAAGATTCAGATCCGTTGAGATTATAAGGGGCGCATTTATGTGGTTCCTACCAAAGATACGTTCGGGAAACACGTTGATCATTCATGATCAAACGATTTAATTATTGTTGTACAACATACAATCTATAATAAGAATCGAATGACGCGTTAGCGCTGATCAGTGCGCTTCTCGAACGCATCTTTGGTAGACACCACATGGGGTATGTTCCACTTCACACTGAGGGAAAAATGTATGATACTTGGAACTATAATAATAAAAATATTATAGTTAGGAATATTATTTTTATAGTAAATTTCAGCGTAATGTTTGTAATATTTACAATATAAGCATACAATATATAGTATAACGACCCATGTAAAACTTTTACCAAGAATTATAATCATTTGAAATAAAAAATATAGTAAGGTTGCAAATATTGAATAGAAAAATTAACTATTTTATATAGTCAATACAATTGGAATATTTGGCAAATTTAGGTACATGTAACTATATTCCCAAAGCGTGCTTTACTATATATATAGAGTAATAAGATGGTGACTATAAATCTATTTTAATTCTGCTATATCTTTATGTTTAGATAAACTATAAATATATGTTTAAGGCCAAAACAAACTATAAAATATAGTGAGATTATAGTTATTCCAACTATTTTTTTCTCTCAGTGCACGCTCGCAACGACGCGAGCGTCATTTTATCTTTGTTTAACATCCAATGAGCAGCAAAGATAAGAATAACGCTCGCGTCGTTGCGAGCGTTAAGTGGAACGCGCTCATAGATGCGCCCTTTATAATCTCAACGGCCCTTGGAGCTGCAACCGTTACTTGCGTGATCCGCCGCGCCGCAAGGGGAAAATAGAAGGCGTAGCTTCCGAAAATCAGCCGAAATGGACAACTAATTCCGAGCTCTGACATAATTAGAATCTGAAACAATTAGAGGAAGATACTGTAGACCTGTTTTGACATTTCCATTTTTATCATACAAGAAAACGGTACGGAGTATCCCTTTCATTTTGATGGACTTTGGGTATATTATAGAGCATCAAAAACTATTAGATCTATATCTTTTATCGACTTATCTCAAAGTTTAAGGGTTGAAACAATCCTTTGAAGAAAACGAACTTTTCATTTTTAGCATTTTCTCCTAAAATGTATACGACGAAATACTTTATACAAAAGATTTACAATATTTTATACACTTTGCAACAGTATTCAAGCTTTTAAAAATGCCGAAGTTTTAAATCTCCCCTCCACTCGTTACTTTCTTAAATTTTTTAATTTTTATAAATCTGCTTTAAGTTTAAGTTTTTGTATAAAAATTAAAGAGCATTGAATACTAAATTTATCCATATATAATAATATATAAGGTGTTCACGATAAAATTTTGTATTCAATATAAAATATTATGTTACATTAATGTTAAATATAAATATTGTATGTTATATTAAATATCCTATCAGAAAAAGGCGTGTTAACTAAATCTCGAATGTATCGAATAATTTATCGAATAATTTTTCATGACATTAATATTGCTCGATAGGTTTCTCGAGTATAAGAAGAAAATGCAGTAGAATTCAAAACCTCATTCTATCAGAAAGTGCGTGTTAACTAAATTTCGAATATACCGAACTGGGTGAAATTTCTTTTCCGCGACGCTAATTGGCCGTCTCTATCGTCTCGATTGTCTCGATCCCGTAGTTGAATTCGTGCCGCTTGCAGCTGTCAGCCGCGGTGACAGATCAGGTTGTGTTGTTCGCGTCATATAAATTTGATATTTATTGTAATAGGAAATTACAACTAACATGTATGTTATATGTAACATTGTGTTTGCTGGGAATATAATTTGTAAAAACGATTATTGTAATATAAATTGTAAATAGTACAACAAAAAGGCTAAAGTGGCGCACGCGAAGCGCGCGCTATGTGGTGTTCTAGTAATAAGAAAAATTACATGATAACATCGTACTATAAGCATCGTGTTATGTGAGTAGGTATGTTTCGTTATTTTTCTTCAGTTGCACTATATTTTATAACTGCTTATGCATATTTTCTCATACCACAAGATGAAAACGAATTAATTCTAACGATATGATATGCGCGTATTATACGAAATAAAAATGTGGACACAGATAAATAAATATATACATACATTCTGAATTTAACACGTATGAAATTTGTGTTTATTGCAATCTTAAAAATGAGTCGATATAAGATCAAGCCGAATTAAAGTCGCAAAACAAACACACATTCTATTATATATTACATATGTATATATACATATATAATACATTTATATTACATATGCATGTATAGATATATAATATACAGAGCGTGGTAAAAGTTCTGGAACAGCAAATTATTTCAGAAAATATTTGTGTAAAAAATGTAACGTATGGATAGATATTCACTTTATATATGGATAGATTTGGCATTTAATGCTCTGTAATCTTTTATAGGGCAAGACTCCTTGGATATGACAAATGAGTTTTTTCTTTTAAACTTCATTAAAATAGTCTTTAAAGATATTTTAATATCATTTTTGAGACTGAAAAAGATTTTTTATAAGAGATATCAACCGGTATAACTATTGTAGCAGTGACCTTTCAGGGAAAGCGTTTAGAACCATTCCCGATTCTCTCGGCCAATTCTGTGCTGCTGGCGACTTATATACCAGTGCCCTATAAAGGGTTAATTTTGGTATAAAAACTTAAGACAAACTTAAAGCAAACTTACAAAAACTTAAAAACTTGTGAAAATAACGAGTGGAGGGGGGAGGGGAGATTAAAAAGTTTGGCGCTTTTGAAAGTTTGAATACTGTTGCAAAGAATATTATACATATATACAGGATGTTTCAGATCACCATTCTCAAACTTTGCGAGAGCGCAGATTGAGGTGAGTAAACAAGCCCAATACGATTTTACGATATGCGCAATCGTTTCCGAGAAATTGATTTTAGAAAATTTCATGAAGGAGGAGCGCTCGAGATCTAGCGCGTTCTTCTAGTTGATCTAGAAACACATGGCGGCGAGGCGAGATGCAGGAACGCAGCGATATAAGCGGCTATCATCGGAGCATACATCATCAAAAATATAAGAGATAGAAAAGAAATTTTCTAAGTAATAAATAGTGAATAAAAATATTATGGTTTGAGGAGTATTTTAGGCGTTTCCAAATTTTAAAGAATGTAAAAATTTTAAACATGGCTTCACTGAAAACTCTCGTCTTATCGTGGAAGAAAACCGCACTTCCGTGCAGATGATGACAGCGGCGAGCAACGAACAATCGCGCCCGCGGAAGCGTTCTATTAAGAATGTTCCGCTGGAGGTCAAAGCTCAGCAATTTTTTTATAATTAAAAAATTTTGTTTCTACCAAATGAAAGTTTTATTTTATGTCAAATCTAACCATAATAATGCCATTTTTCAACTTAGTGCCGCGTTGTTCTTCCACTCACAGACTGACATCCGCGCGCAATATTATTGGGTCACGTTACGGCTTGGGCGCTCCTCTTTCTACCATTCCGCGCGTACTTTTCTTTAATCTTTTACAATTAATCAATTAATTTCTCGCCTGCGAATACCGCAAATCAGTATAGAATTTTTATGTTTACCTTTTTTTTTGGTTAACCCAAGAAAAATCTATCATGGATACTTCTGAGGAGGGACGCGGGTTATGCCGAATTCTTACCGGCTAAAACCCCTGGGGGGTGCCTTCTTTGGGGCGTAGTGTGGGGAGCCGGGGGAACAGTTTTTGACAATACTTCCCAGACTTTTACCTCAACCCGTCCTGCGCTCTCGTAAAGTGTGAGAATGGTGATCTGGGGAACCTTGTACACACACACACACACACACATATATATATATATATATATATATATATATATATATGTAACAATAAAATTGATTGATTTATATATAAGCAATAGCAAGAGCAGGCATCGCAGTGAGAGTGAATAGTTCAGTACATTCCATCGTTTCATGACTTATTATTTGTGACTGCATATATATATATATATATATATATATATATATATATATGTCTAAAATTTCTATCAATATTAATATTTCTCACACATATCTCTTTGCTTATTTGCTTTTTGTTTAACTATTATTTTTGTCATATTGTAAAGAAACATTTCTTGATCCTTTAAAATCTGCAAGAGAGAACAAGCGTGTAGTGTGTTTGGATATTTTGATAACATAAAATTAATAAAAATATAAATTGCACATACTCATATTTATTTCAAGACGTTACTTTGTATCATGTGTGCTTTTTATTGAACGCGTGTTTATCACACGTAACGCGTTTATTAAACAAATATATTTAAATGATAAAACATTTGTCAAGGGCCATTATCTTCACATCACGTTAACTTATCTAAGCATGTTAATTACGATGTTGCATGCTTAAATTAAAAAAAAATGCAAAATTAAAAAATTTTGTTTCTTTCACCAAATGAAAGTTTTATTTTATGTTGAATCTAACCATATATAATAATGCCATTTTTCGACATAGACTTTTCTAAAAAAACATACGATTTTTATACCTTTATATACCTGTAACGTTAAACGTAATCGCCTACCCCACTCAATACATATATACAATATTTTTACGTAGTAAGAAACGATTAATATACTGATATGCAGAATATGTAATCATAAAATATTTGAATATGTAACAATAATAATATTAATTATTTTATATACAATACTCATATCCTACATTTCCTTTTTACTGAAATATATATATATATATATATATATATATATATATATATATATATATATATATATACACGCTTTCTGAAAGTGAAATTTTATTTATGAGAGATTTGTGCCATCAGTTGACCAATAGACCAACAGTTTAATTATAATTCTAATAAAGGCTTAATAACAAGCTATATCGAAGTTAGAATTCTCATTTAAAATGTGTTTAAAGTGGAGAAAAAATCGTGCTGTCAGCTATGTTTATAGAATGCAAATCGTTAATAACAGATAATAATAATAATAAAATTGTGATTAAACATGATGTAGAAGGGTACATTCAGTTTCATAGATGCTATCAATATATCGATAATAACTTTTTTGGTCGTCTGCATTCGTTTCTAGTTACACGTTTTCCAACGTTTGACTAATCAATCAAGAAGCGAGAACATGTTCAAAATAGTACTGATATTTGGATACGTCGTACATATTAAAAAAAAAA